GTTTTTTTATTTGTTTTAGGACTTATTTTCTAGCTCATAATGTCAAGGGAGAAAAAAGGGAATAACGTTTTTGTTCAATTGGAACAAGATAGTGCCTCCCAGCCCCCCTGCTTTGTGGTGCCTGCTTATCGTTGTTTGAAAGGTTCTTTCTTCAAGTTGGTATATTGGGCGAAAATATTGATTAGATTGAGTTTTTATTTCAGTGTACTAGGCATCAAGCCCATCGAGTACTCTCCTCAATAGAGGCTATTGAAGACAGGGAGTGGGAAAAGGTAAAGCTGCGTCTACTTTTCATTTTCTTCCTCAGTTCACTTTCACCTTTCCCCCTCCCTATCTCCCTCCCCAAAGGTCTCTGTGGAGGAGAGTGCCCATCGAGAGGTGATAAAAGGGCAATTACCCCTTGGTCAATTAGCAAAAAGGGGACCGCTGGTAATTAAACAATTATACTGCCTCTATTTAAAGTTTGACTCTTAGTAACATCGTAATTACAAATTATATCTGTTCTAACAAAGTTTAAAAAGCTATACGAATATAGTTTAAAAATAAATAAAAGAAGTATATGCATTTTAAATCCAAGTAAAATTATTTTTAAGTTTATTTTTTAGGTAAGAAGGGGCCTTAGGCCTGTTTCTGGGCCCTACATAGCTCTCGGAGGCCCTGCTGGACATAAACATAAATTTTATGTTAAAGCTATAATGCTTCGTTGTGTTGTCCTCTTATGTTGCACTTTTAGTTAGATATTCAGCAGGAACTAAAACTATTTTCCAAAAATGTTTACAAGTTTTCATAAAAAACACACTAGGGCCTGACAAAGATTAAATTCAAGACTGTTGTAAATTAGACTCAATTTTTGCTGTTTTTCCTTTTCAACTTTTACGGATCTGGAATTCAGGATGAACAATATTGAAAACGTTAAACTAGTGAAAACAAGGTTCTTAGAAGCACTCTAGTAAACCAATGATCAATTCAAGTTGCGCATCGATAAATTGAGATTTGTGCAGTAATTTGCTACTTAACTGAAATATTAAGAAATATTATATTTTCAGGGTGGAGAATATCAATGGTATGTAATCAAGGATCGTAAGAAAGAGGGAAACTTTGGCTTAAGAAGAGTCAAAACTTTAGCTCAGGACATGTCAGTGCCTGTTTGTCAGTTAAGAATTCATAAGCACAATTGTAGAAAAAAACTTTGCACATAATTATGTTCATGTTTCCCTATTTCAATATGAATGAAATTATATTTGAAGAAAGTAAAAAAAATCACAACTATAGCAAACTTGTTAGAATATCTTACAACAATACTCCCAGAATACATAGTAGCATCCTAGTATTGATCTGAAGGCTGATTGTCTATTATTCGGTTTGAAATAACGAGTCAAATCAGCACATCTTTTTAGACCCAAAACTAACATGTACGCTGTTTCCTGCAGGGAAGAAAATGAATACTTTCAAATTTCACGTGCTACATAGAAGAAAAAACAGCATTATCTTTCGAACATTATCAGAGAACAATTATCAAAGAACAATCACTTTTGACTTGACAACATCGTACTGACGTCATTCTCGCATTTGCAGGGGCTTATCAGGTAGTTACAGTTATAAAATATTTCCCTAAAAAGTTTATCTGGGAAATAGATTGAATTTAAGATGTGACTTCTATCTTTAAATATTAATAGTTTCCGGGTAATACATAATAACCATCAGATTTGATGTAACATAACAAGCATTAAATATTTTAAGCCAAGCTCACATTCTCTCTCTGTAGTTAAGATTTCCTTCAGCACTGTTTTACCGGTATAAGATTTTTAAATCGCTTCAGTAATCCATTGGTGACGTGTTCAGAAATAAGAAACTCTCAAGCTTTCATTATAAACATTATGAAATAAGAATCCTCAAAGTTGCTGGCTAAAAAGAGCCTATGGTGGCTTGAAATGAGGGTCGCTTCACGAAAATCTTTTGCACCTTCAAAATCCCCGAAAGGTTCTATCGTTTTAAAAAATTTAGTAAGGTGTTTGAGAAGAGTGATACGAATCTCATCTCAAAATTCGAATTAAAGCAATGTTGTGTTAAAAAAGGGCTCGTGTTGTTCTGCAAAGGATCAACGATTTGATTATTTTAAATACTCAGTCCGAGCAATTTACAAGTAAAAACGTCTTATAGACACTTTTGATCGAGAGTTGGACTGCTAAAGCACACAGAAGATAATTTGCCTGCTAAAGCCTACTGAAGAGAATTTAACTACCAAAGTCCCTTTTGAATTTGTTACATCTTAATTAAAAAATTTATTTATAAAAGCTACTCTACAATTAAGATCTATAGAAGATGTGCCTCCTTTAGATAGTTTCAAGGGATGCTCAGTCCTCCAGTGCGCCTAGAGTGTTTGGCGCCCATGACAGCCCGGTGTTTTATGCCTTTAAATTCTGGATTAAACGATCGCAGGGTAAATTATGACAAAATCGACCATGAAAAGGCTGTGTTTTGGTAGAGCTATTATAAGAGTACAAAATGTCTGTGTGGATTAATATGTAATGTAAGTAAGGATAATGCAAAGTTAATGGACGTTTTATCTCACCCATTCATATCTTTATACCTCGCCATACTAGAAATCTTTAGTAAAGAGCAGTGGCTAACTTAGGGGAATGTAGCTGTTTTGTATTCCATTTTGTCAAAGATTTCCCTCCTTTTAAAAAGCTGAATTTTCATCATTGGCTAGTTTATAAGAGTCTATAGCATAGCTAACACTCATCTCCCTTGGATTAGTATAGTCAAATTAGATCTTCTTCTACAGTATGGGAATGTCCTCCACTTGGAGCTACAGGGCTAGGATCCAACTGAATTCAAGTAATGATTGTTAAGGCTGGGGTTTTTGCTTGAACAGAAGAAACAAATTACCTCCATAACACTGAATGCTATGATTGGGTCAAACACCAGTATACGTGCACAGGGGCGGATCCAGAACAAGTTTGAAGGAGGGGCAGTTGGTAGTGGGGCGCTAAAAAATTTTCAGAATCTGGTGATGAGAGTACTTAATATAAAAAAATTTCAGACCCTAACTACTGACAGAAGGCTCTCTATTCATGTTCTAAAGAAAATTTTCACAATAATTGTGCCAAACTATTTCCAAAAGGGGTGCCAAACTTGCTTCAACTCGGCGAGGGAGGGGCAGCTGCCCCTAGTTGCCACCCTTAAATCCACCACTGAGTATAGAAATATTTTGTAGTTTTTTTGCCGTCTCTTTGTGGTGACAAAGCAGATAAGTTTTTAGCAGTACTACTGTTATTTGAATCAATTATGCTACTCTGACACAATTCATTGGATCAAACAAAGATTAATACAATGCTATCAAAAGTGTTGGTGACATCCAATTAAAAAAGTAATGCCGATCTTTATATCCAAGATAGATTAATTCAAACTATCTAAGATTCAGACCACGGTTCATGGTTTGAATTCATTAAACTTTAGAATCTTCTCTCTGTTTCCACTGGCTTAGGCAGATAATGTCGTTTACCCCCGTTCATGATTCAGAACCTCGCACCTGTCGAAGTTATAATCTTAAGCGTTTAACCATTCTATCAAGGACATTTATAGAAAACTACTATTCTCTTTATAAATAATAATTGATTCAACAAACCTTCTCACACTTTCCGCGCAAAACGATGTGTTCAGATTTTCATAAATCGCCAAGAAAGGTAATGACATAACACTCGTAAATGGGCTTGCTGTTCAGCTAATTATTAGGTGACCAGCGAAATATTTATGAAATTTTCATTTGGAGTGTAAAATGAAACATTCCAAATATAATGTATTAGATAATACTATACTTTATAATATAATAAAATGAAATAAAGTAAATTAAAATAAAACATGTTATGTTATGTTATGTTATGTTATGTTATGTTATGTTATGTTATGTTATGTTATGTTATGTTATGTTATGTTATGTTATGTTATGTTATGTTATGTTATGTTATGTTATGTATGTTATGTTATGTTATGTTATGTTATGTTATGTTATGTTATGTTATGTTATGTTATGTTATGTTATGTTATGTTATGTTATGTTATGTTATGTTATGTTATGTTATGTTATGTTATATAACTTTATGAATTTTTACAATTTGCTTGAATATCCACATTTAAATTGTTAACTGCAAAAATTTGGTTGCAGATGGGAAAGATTGGTGTTTAGACACTTTCAGCTTCAAAACTTTTCAAGGTCAAGTTATAGAATTCTTTTGTGGCAATCATGAATCGTAAATATAAAAATCCTCTGTTGAAATTGCAAACTTTATTGTTAGCTTAAGCACCTTCTGCCTCTGATTTCTGTTAATATGGTAGTTAATATAAATTTGAAAATGAAGTAAAGCTACTTTTGAACTCAAAGATCAGTTGATTCAGATCCTTAGTAAGCAAATAGAAAAACAAGGATTGTTATTCACCTTGTACATGATCTGAATCATTGAACACAAATTTCTACCGCTCTATCTTTTTGATGATGTTTTTTAGGGCGAGGGTGGAAAATTTTTTTTCTGCTTGAAAAAAAAGAACCCTAAAAAGTGACACATCCCGTACTACTGTATGTGGAAATCCCCCCCCCCTCTCCAGGGCCTAATAAACAAAAGAATTACCTTATATCACCTTAATAGGCACTTGTTGAAATATGTGGCCTCATCTAACATCAAAACAATCAAACCTTTTCACAGCGTTATAGAAATGTGAAATTGCTGCTACTAACCTGACTGTTAGCTTCTTTCGTGGAGAAAATGCGGTAAAGAAGCTCCATGTGACAGAACACAGTTCTCTAAATTATTCGGTAAAGAAGATTTATAATCAGTGATTTGGCAGGTAAACTGAAAGACTGAGGCTTTATCTAGACAACTTTGTTTAGAATATGCAAAGAGATTTGCAAAGAAATCAGCGATTGTATGCTGCTTCTTATCAGTTGAGTACTCAAAATGTTTAGTTAGAAGCAGGATAACAACCAAAAATAAATGCAGTGATAAAAAAGTGGAAGAAGATCCGTTGCAAACGAGCAATGTATTTCGCAATATAAGATTTTACTCAGAAAAGGCTTAAAAACGACAATAGAAATACCACTCAATTCATCTATCTTTAGTAAATATACTTTGGTAAACGACTACACTTTGTGAAGAGGCATCGTGGCGATCGCATTTATGGAAGGGGGCGGGGTAGCTAAAGATTCCAATTTTCCGAAAAAGGATCCGACACCAGCGTATTGTTTTTGAAGATTTTAACCCAAAAATGTCAGCAAATAGAAAAAGCCCACCTCCTATGCCCCAAGCCATGACGCCCCTGATTTGTTTTCATTGAACTACAAAAATCCATTTGTTTCGAAATTCTTTGCTATTATCGTGTGGTCATCGTGGACGCCACATACAAGATAACCTTATAGCATATCTACAAAATAACAATGTACACACTTCAATCATTATAAAAATATCAATTTTATATCCTTTCAAAAGAGATGTTGTATACAAAACTGCAATGATAAATGTCATTCAATCTCTATGGGCGGACTGGCCGGTCGGGCTACCGGACGATCGCCTGGTGGGCCCTCCCAAAATCATTACAAATTTTTCTTAATTTTGCTATTGAATGAGAACCGGTATTGTTTGGTAGGGGCCCTCTTCTGTTGCTATAACACCGAGACTCTCTCAAGATTCGTGGATACAGAATGAATAAAAAGATCACTATGCGGTATTTAAGTGACGAAAAAGCATTTTCCAAAATTTGGGGCCCCATGGAAACAAGGAGAATCCTGGGTCCAAGGCTCACTGTCCCTAATATAATAATACGATACTTAACTGGAAGCCCCAAAATCTGATAAATGTTTTCTTTGGGCCCTCCGTTTGAATGTTTTCATTAAATCATAAGTTAAGATGGTAAGGACATGACAATTTTCGTGACTCAATTTCTAGGAAGGCACATAATTTTAATGCTAACCAAATAGATTTGAGAGTATAGATCAAAACAGCAGAAGGGCTCTGACTAAATTTTTGCTCCAGTACATCTATACTTTGCTCCAGTATAAAACATGAATGATTCGCCAAAGATCTTAGGTATAAAACATGCGGTACTTACGCCAAATTTCGGTGTATTTCGTCGGTGTATTTTGCCATAATTCCATTGGTGTGGTCTGACTGTGCTAGTTTTTTGCCCTGACGAACTTACAATAACAGGCCAGTAGACAGATCTTATAAGCGCAGCTTGATCTGAAAGTATTTCATAAGGCAGGTGTCCCCCAATCTAGTTTTGCAGTATACGGGCCGGCAAAAATGAATAAGTTTTAAATGTCACTCATTGCAAATCAAACAATAAAAAGAAAGGAGATACAGCTGGAAGACTGAAATTAATTTCAAGCTTTATGCTCATAGAAATGTAGACATGAATTGACATCTAAACATAGAAAGGAAGACTCGTTACTCTTGAAAGTTTCTTACTGAGAACATTTATTTACTGTCTTCAATAGACAAGATAGCGTTTTTTATAATTTCATTTAGAAATTTACTTAAAGTTATGTGTGTCGGAAATGCTGGGCTTGTCGCTAGAAGTTGAGAATAAGATCTTTGCTTTTTGGTAATTGGAAACCATTAGAGGATGGGGAATTATTGTAAATGAAAGCTTGTATGTGTTGCCTAGGATCGTCCTTTCGTCAAACTTGATGTGGCAAATATTCTAGTGTTGCGACATAGACGCTCGTCGAATCATGCGCCCTATTAAACTCGTTATTCTGGTTTGCCCAGTTTCAAGTAACTCGTTAAAATAACTTGTTGTTTATATCCTGTTTGTTGACTTGTTTATGCCTGTTCTGTTGATATTGCTATTACCTAGTACTATCGATATTTGGTTATCGTAAGACTTGTGTACGCTGGTACCACCCCTTTCGCGCTGTTAACTTTACCTTTTTTGGTAGTAATTTTTATGTTAGTATTCTTGTCACGTTTTCCAAGTTGTCAGTCGATTCTTGTAGCCGAGAGTAGAAGACATGCCGCGCATGTAGACGTTTTTAGAAGCAAAAAAAGACGTAAGACGAAAACGCCAAATTGCTGTTGTTTTCTGAGGTCGTAAGTCCTTTGACGTTTCTCTTTTATGTCCATAATTATTTGTGAGGCATGCAGTAGCTTTACACTAAATATATTTTCTGGCCATCTCTGTAATGGCATATTTCGAAAATTTTTCTTGAATTCGGCCAGAATTCCTAACCATGGTGGTGGCCTTTATTTGAGCCCTGAACAATCTAAACATTTAACCCTCTCCCCTACTTCAGTAACGTTTCGCCTGCCCTGCCTATGTTACTGACGTTACCATCTTGGTTGCTGCGCAAACAATCAATTAACCTGGCTGCTCAACCATTGATCGAAAAAACATCAACGCCTATTATGCTTTGACTGAAAAATTACATATCAAGATTTTCTTGAATAACGTAGATATTTCTTGAAAAACTTACCAAAGCCTTAGTGATCGAGAAAGGTGACCCCTCTAAAAATACCTTTCGCCGTTTTCTATCACTGAGGCCCCTTTCAGCTAGAAAACAATAATCCCCCCCCGCAACGCCATGATTTTTTCTCGTTTCTTATCCTACGTCAGAAATAAATTTCCAGTGAAAATGGTGCTGACCTGGACTAAGGATTGTAGATCCCCTTTGTAACTCTTCTACACCTACTCCTACATCCCTGGTGGCTACTAATTAGAATTAATAGCAATATTCCAATAACGTTTTAAGCCAGTATAAAAAAGTGATGCAACAAACAACTTTGGGAATAGCCGTAAACTTATTTTTCATTTTTGGGGCCCTTTCTCGACAAATTGGCCCAGGTCCTAAATTTAGAGCCAGTCCGCCCCTGTATAGGAGCCTAGACTCTCTTAATCTACAAACAAATTATTGTCTAAAGAGCAATCTGCAAACATTTGTTGTCTATCAAGTCATGTAAACGACTATTGGCCTAGGATGAAAAAATCGCCTAGTAGACATATGAGGAAGACTAGCATTCAAGAGTCACTTTCCGTTAAGTGGCTTTAGCGTAGTGGTGGAACTTACGAGGGAGGGGTGGGAGAGGCAACTGCCTTCAAGTAAACATGAATTGACCATGAATCAGCAAATCAACACGAGAATCGGATATTTTTGTAAAGGAATTGAAGAGATTGCCACTGATTCAACGTTCTGTCTATGATGAGTTTTTTTCGGGGAATAGCCCCTAAACTCTATCACAGTGAAAATTCAGTTCCTGAAAAAGACGTTCCTGAAGAATTTATTACTCATATTTAACGTAAAGAAAAGACCACCTACTCTACATTAAGGACTGCAAGATTCTAAAAAAATGTGAAAATTTGATAACAGATTCACCACAATACTTACTAAAATTTCTAGAGCAAAGTTTTCTTAAAAAAGAATTATTATTGCGACAGAAATGTTCGATGTTCGAGTTACTTTTTAACAGCAACACCCTTATGGAAGGGAATCTGGAGAAAAAGTGCCAGAGACATTGAAATCCAAGCCAGAACAAAACCCAACAAAAATAAGCGATCGACGATTTTTGAAACGAAGCTCCAAAATTCTTTATGGTTCTGATCAGATATTTGATTGTCATATTCATCAACCAGTTTTTTCAGGTTTTTCAAGCAGTCCGTTTCTTGTTTGGTTGGCTTATTGCCTTGCTGTGACTCCAACGAATGAAACCCACTGGAAAATGGCTGCTCGTGGAAAATTTCTCTCCCTTTGGCCGAAAAGTAGCGCTTTTTGTGTTGATAGTCATAGTGGCTGTCTCCATGAAAACCACTTTCACTTGTTTCTGGGTAGCCAGTTGACTGGGAAAAGGAAGCTTGCGAGAAGCGTAACATCTCGTAATTCTCTTCGTTTTGGTTGGAAACAGTTAAGGTTTTGCCGTAGCGCGATTTCGACGCAAGTGGATCATAGCGGCGAATTTCTTCCGCACTATCATTCTCCTTCTCATCAACAATTACAGTACATGAGCGTTTTGTGACATACAGCAAGGGACCGAGAAATTCGAGAAAGATTATGCGAATGACTGAGGGCATTCTCCTCTTTGTGGGACATCGTAAAGAATATGAATTCGAAAGCAATGAGAGCAGAAGCAAAGTCATACACATAAGCATAAATTTGGTGATAACAGGCATTGTATCGGAACTTACCGGCATCATATCTTTAATCATCATGGATGTGAAGGTGTTTGCAAGGAAACAATCAAAGGTGAGGCCAACTCTTTCGCCTATAGTATCCGGCAACATGAAAGTTATAAACGCCATGAGAGTGATGACAAGTGTGGGTAAGACGACGTTATAAAAGTAAAACCCGGGCTGCCTATCGAGGAATACGTCGTACGTGATTGTGACAATGGGGTCTGCACAGCATCTGTCGGAGAAAGGAGAAAAAGTAATTTGGAGGGTATTCATTTTAAAGTATGTAAACAAAGGTCACGGTACCAGGCTGCTCGACGTACTCCGATGGTATGCCTGCTGCAAAAAGTCGATAATAATGTAGAAAATAAGAAACACTGCAACGCGCCGAGTACAAACAACTATAAACACAAATTAAAAGTAGCTAAGATTGGATTTCGTCGGAGCAAAAGTAAGCGGACTAAATTCATTTCAAGGACATTGCAAAAGGGTTGGCAAAAAAGATTTGAGAAATGACAAAATGAAGTAAGAAGAGGATCGTCGCTAATTAATATTATGACGATTGTAAAAGAAGAAAGTGAATATTGAAAATGATAGCAATGGAGAAGAAGTAATGAAGACGAAGAAGGAGGAAGATGAAACGTACATCTTACGAAAAAAGGAAGTAGAATAAATCGATAAAAAAAGGCAAAGGAAAAGAAATACCTGTTGTTTATTAATGATAATAATGAATTTAGTAGAGTAAGAGAGGAAAAAATTGAACATACTGAAGCTTTCTTCGTGCTTTTTTCAAAGCTACTTTTAATTTTTGTACCACCAAAAGATTGTTTGAGAAAAGTGAGTTATAAAGTGTTACGCCTTAAGAAAGATATGTCTTTAGAGATTTTGAATTTGCACACTACACACAACTTGAAAATACAAATCGGTTGAATGCTCTCGAAAATTTGGATGATCAGCAAAAAATATGAATTAGGGTTAGTGTTGTTTTGACTCATTTATTTTGGTACGAAGACAAAAGTACGAGGATTTCAAAGGAAAGGATGCCTGTTTTCAGAAGACTGTATCTCAGTTGTGATATTGCCAACTTTTACACACATATAGAGATATTTCAAAAGGACTCTTAAGAATACACAATTAAACTAATAATTGCTAGAAAAAGATTTTCATCGTGTCATCTGTTGCTGTCGATAAAGATATTTGGAACCTGTTATCAGAAAAATCATTTGGGCCATTTTCTTTGGCAATGAACAAACTTGGTATTCTCAAAAAACATATTCAAGAGGAAATAAATGGTAAAAGATGCATGCTTTTCATTCCAAAATATTTTTTATAGCCAACCATCTGATAATTTAAAAATCCATTACAGTTTATTGCCTGTACCGAAATCACACAAGCAAAGATTTTTGAATGTGAGTGGTTAGGGACCCAAGAGATATATTTCTGTCCAGGTTGCAATCAAATCGTTTACAATGACGTCAAGGATTAATGGAGCTGCCTTCCTCTACCTCCTGCTTTCACCTTGAATGTGCCCTGGATAGCACTGAATACTTTATTGAATTGTTGTGTAAATCGAACAAGTTTTCTTTCTTTAAAGTGCAATAAAAGACATTGAAACCTTTCTAATGAAGAGACTAAACAAAGAAATGATAGCACAGAGGCCCAAAAACATAAGAAAACAACTATAGGCCTTTGTTTGTTTACAAAAAAACACGCAAACTTACGGGTAGAACACCTCATTTCTTGTAGCTTTCGTTTTCCTCAAATAAAATGAAGAGCTACTTAGATAAGGTGCCACATCCATTGTATCTCTTATATTGGTAATGTTGATATGCTGCCTAAAGTATGTCCACGAGCCAAAAGTGAGCGGACAGACTTGGCTATCAAAGGGGAAATATGTCATATCTGTGCCGCAGCTGGTTTTCAGTATGGCAGGGATATACCAGGTGTTCATTCCAGTGTATTTTACATCTATACGAGTGAGAAATTCGCCAACATTTCCTCCATGCTCTCCATTTTCCGCACTAAGAACGCAATGATATGATTAATTAAATCATTTGAAAATCTCACAGAAATCTCTGCGGTTATGAAAGGGAAAGAAAAGACTTGCTGGTACATTGTTTGGTTTTGTAGATAATTGAGAGTGAGAGATGCCAGTGAGAGGAAGCAAGGAAAGGAGAATACGGGTGGTAAAAAGATAGATGAAAGGAAAGAAGAGAGGGCGAAAGAAAGAGAGAGAGAGAGAGAGAGAGAGAGAGAGAGAGAGAGAGAGAGAGAGAGAGAGAGAGAGAGAGAGAGAGAGAGAGAGAGAGAGAGAGAGAGAGAGAGAGAGAGAGAGAGAGAGAGAGAGAAAGAGAATGATGTGGGGAACAGAAAACTCTTTCGTAACTTTTTCACCTAGCTGAAGAGCCTCAATCATATGAACTAGCATTAAAAATTGTCCTGTTGACTGATATCTCTGAATGATTGATCAGGCTTTATAGGTTGAATAAAGCAAGAAACAGAGATTTCGAATTAGAGGCACCTAGTATTTCTTACTTGTTGTATAGAACGATATCAGGTTTCCATGGATATTGCTTGTTCACAGTTAGGCGTGTCACATTCCCGTAGTCAGCTGGGTTCCATCTCAAGATTTCGTTCATCCATGTCTGCAACAAAAAGGTTGTCGTTTGGAAATCTAGCAGTTACCTCTAGAGTTTCAAAGAAGAACAAAAGTTCCCAATTTCTTTACAAATTCCCATTTGAACAAAGGAATACTTCACCAAAACAACAGCACCCTAAAAACTGCTCACTTCTTTTGAAGAATTTGAGAAAATACTTTTGAATAAACCACTGTCTTCCAAAGTTTTTAATTTCATGCAAGGCTCTTCTCTTGTGCCATTTCTACTCATTCATTTGAAATAAGGACTTTGATATTTCAATCGTGTAATCTGTTATCAGGGGCGGATTAACTGAGAGGTTTAAGGGTGCTTTCGCGCACCAAAATCTAATAATTGTTTAGCACCCCCTGCAATCCTTGCCGCTTGCTTTTCTACTTCCCAGTCTCTCTAAGCCGCTTAAACGGTCTACAGTGGTGAGAAATCTACAAATGTTGAAGAGTATCAAAACATCCCATTTTCAACTAGCCGGTGAAGGAAAAACAATGAACTGAATGAGATTCTTGAATGGTGGATGCTTGTGATAAATATTCACTTTTTTAACATGAGAATATGTAAACAATTAAAGTGCTTCTCCTACAACTATTACATATCGTTATTTTTGTTACATCTTCAACTATCAGCCTATTTAATGCTCTGCCTTCAGTCTGTTTTATCTGTTTCTTTAGCTAACAAAAGATCAAAATTGGAATGGCCTGACTTGATGAGAACTTTGAAAGCTTTGCCTGTACAGCATTTATTATAATCAATAAAAAAGTAGCTATATTACTGGCTAACATCTATGTTTACAGATTAAGGTGATGGTCAGAGAAGTGACGAGGCTCTAAATCAGTCAGCTTTTTGTTTGAGTTTAACCATCTCATCGTCTTATCATGGTCCCAGTGCAATCACAATATACCAAAGCACACATTCATATAAACTGTGACTAAAATACGTGTGACATCATCAACAATATTTTTTAAAATTCCTTAAATTTGACCACGTAATCTGAAATAACGGCATAAAATACTTCTCAATATGCAAATAAGGTAGATATGTTAAAAATTGAGCGAGATATTTCAAGTTTGCTAAAGCATTGCCGTATAGCTTGACAGAATGTTCAACAATTTCCCCCCGTTTTAGGGTGTACCGTATATAGAAAAGTCCTTCATGTTCTTTAGCCATAAAGCTATGAACCAAGACCAAATTACAAAGGTTTGATGGGACAAGTAACTGCGCTCAGGTGGTCATATCACAGCCAATTCGTAATACCTTTAAATGGTGGTCTTTCAGGTTATGGGATCAAAATTTAAAATGGAACTTTGTGCTATTACCCCTTTGAAACTATAAAAACTTGATGAAGATCAGACAAAAACTGTTCAGACGACTTTTTAAAAATACTAGCATGCCTAGTCCTCTGAAATGGCTTTCTCGTGATGATCAAGGACAGGTGGGTTGCGTTTGCTGTTATAGACCGATTTTTGACAGCTTTGTGTGTAATTAGAGAGCCAAAAAGATTACTTGAAGTTTTGCAGATAGCCTATCAGATTGCGTGCAGTTTTGAAGAAGACAGCCAATAGGATAGCACACAGATTTAATGGAAACCAATCAGATTGCTTGAAATGTGCAACACATCAAACAGGCCCATTTTGACATACAGGTCATACAGGAAGTTTGACATACAGGAAGTTCCTCATCCGCCTTCCAAAGGTCAGGACGGAGGCTGCGAAAAAGTCATTTCGTTTCCAAGGCCCTTCTTGCTTCAACGACATCCCAATTGACATCCGCCAACTAACATCGATTGTTCAATTCAAGAATCGATTAAAAGAACATTTCCTCCTCAGCAACTAGGTTACTTCATTTCCACTAAAAACGATTTTTACCCTTTATTACTTTCATTTTTTAACTTTTCATTTTTAGCTTGTAATTACTTTTCATTTTTAACCATGTATATACTTTTATTTAAAACAGGGCCCTTATTGATAACAGTGCCTTTGGCACTGAAAAGGTTTTACCCTGTAAAAATATTTCTATTATTATTATTATTATTATTATTATAGGTCTTATATAGGCGTACAAAGGGAAATTATCCAAGCAAGATACTTCTCCGTTAGCAAATTTTCGTTCCATTGTAACATTACCCCTAGAGCAGTCTTGAATACATTACACCTTTTCACTAATGGTCCCGATGTCATAATAAATCTGAACAGCGATAGATGGCAAAATACGTTTCATTAAATAAGCCTTACCAGCCTTATCCAAATGTTTGACGTCATAGATTGATCGGCATCATCCTGCAAAATAGAGTATCATTATTACACTATGGACAGCTTAAATGTATACGGACACCCTCCTGTCGCTTCTTTCCTTCAAAGACAAGGAAGAAAAAGCTATTGACAGGTTACAGAACTCAGGGTTACCAGATTGGCCTTTTTAAAAATCAAATTGTCCAACTTTGGCCATTTTAGAGTTAATTTGCCAGGAAAATTTGTTATTAAGGACATTCCTTTGTTTTCGCATCATAGGTAGCAAGCAAATTTTAAATCGAACAAGCAATATTTTACGGTGTAAACCAAAATGTCATATATCTGGCCTTCTTCTGTAAACCCCATCTGGCAACCCTGTTACAACCCTGGCAACACAACCCTGATATTCTGCCAACAGAGAGAGAGATGTGCCAGAGAGGCAAGACTTGTGGTACACGCTCCTGGTATTCTCTCATTCCAATGTTACTGCTAAATCTTAACAGATATGCCAGGGTAGAAACCGTGGACCTTTTACGCAGAAGGTCTTTGCCATGGACTAGTCCTCTAGACCGGCGTATTGGCTGACTATGCCCTTATCTATTTTTGGTATAATGACGTAATTCTATTTCTACGTCTTGACTCAGAGCTTCTATTCTACAAGCAAGCCCCAAGCGTTGTAGGAAGGTGGATCCCACCTTAGCAGATATGGGGCAAGCAACCAGCATAAAGGCCGTTTCCACTTGATTCGCTCTGGTCGCGCGACTTGGCGAAATCGAATCAACAAGTCAACGAATCGGCGAACGCGACCAGTCGCCCAGTAATTCAACTGAGTTGAACTACTCAGCGAATGGTCGCGCAATCGCAGGGAATGGGGAAGTTCAATTTGCGCATGCCGCAATGTGCATTCGCTCAGTCACGCGACCAGAGCGAATAAAGTGGAAACCCGCCTTAAAACACTGCAGATTGTTTACTTACCAGATCAACGAGTTGCACTAAAGCAACATCCAGGTAAACTTGCACTGATGAAGCCTTATTTCGAACTGGCCTAACCGAGTTGTCATACCTTGTATGAACGAATAAATCGTCGAATAATCTTGCCTCATCGTTAACCTTCTCTGGCTGAGTATCTGCTATCGCTGAAATGACATTTTACGCCATCATAAGTCACATTGTAAATAGATTATCATTCAAACATAGTCAACGATTAATCAAAGATGCTGCATCGAGGAACGTACTAATCGTCAAAAGCATGGATACTTGTGATTATTCATAAACAAAGTTACAAAAACTGGGCTTGAACATTATATCATGATCTTCTTCGTGGTCATAATTTCAATTAGAATTTCTTCATGAACTCTACATTTTTTATCCATACGTAATTTAGCAATCAACATTTTTCAACTGTTTAACCTAAATACTTTGATCTGATATCTTAATCTTCTTGTTATTTCGATCATACATTTCAGAGAATAAAAGGTCTTTCAAAAATTGCATATCAGAATGTAAGATAGGAATTATTTGCAATTATTTAAGCAAAAGGGATTGACAGAGCTCAAGTTAGGGAGTAGCTGCGAACAACACTCACATTTTTTACAATGGTTGTTAAGGATTAGCAAACAGTTTTTTAATTTTTGTTGACTTAGTGTAAAGAGGTTGTTCGAATGCTAAGAGCTACTTTTTAGAAAAACAAAAGCTTAACAAAAGGAAACACTAAATAACAAAGTTGCAAGAAACTCTTTTTTATTTTTAATGGATATAGGGGCTTAATATGCGAATAGAAATATTTCTACCCTATCTTTATAAGAAGAATTTTCACGCAGTTTCTTAACATCGAGGACAATCAGTACCAAGGTTCTTTTTATTTTATCGCCATCTTCTTATAGAGCGTTTTTTCGTAAAAGTGAGTTTGATACACACGTAATTATTTGATAGGCATTTGATATAACATCATAGGACATTTACAGAGAAAAACAGAAAGTTTTGTCGAGAAGCATCCATCTTTTCAACTTCCAGCGATCATTGTAAAGTGTCATTGTAGAGGAAGGAAACTGGGGAGGGGACGAGGCCTTTAAGAAAACTTTATTTGTGACACTTTTTAAAAAATTCGAAAAAAGCTGGTGTCAGAGCTTTTTTGTTGCAGGGACATGTCTTCTTTGCACAATGGTAATGCCAATGAAAAGAAAGTTTAAAAAACAATTCATAGACAATGGATCTTATCTTTCGAGCAAAGAAACATTTCTCAGAAAAGTGTAAAGCTGGGGAATTTGAAGGCAAATGTCTTTTGGATAGTTTGGCGGGAAGATTTTGAGCAAATTTAGAGAATGCAAGGGCTAAAGTAGGTAACCAAATAATCAATGATTATAGTAAACATTGAAATGAATATAAACAGTAAATATAAAGAGAATGAAGTATACTCACACACAAGATAGAATGCATAAGAGCAAAACAGGATGCACAAAATCTTCTCTGTCCTCTGCATTCTTTTTGTCGGCTAGAGAGACTTCGTAGCTGGGTACGAAACATATAAGCTTGAGTAAGAGATATGTTTCGTCTGCAAAATGATCAGCGAAGAATTCTCGCTACTATATGATCGATTTCACATCTAGGCGTATTCAGAATCAATTTCTAATCCTGTATCTTCAGCACATGATTGTCATCAAGTAAACTCTCATAGCTGTGTACACTATTATATTTAAAGAATGAAATAGTCAGTACCACCAGGCCCTTGACCATAATAAGAAGCTTAATAATCGATGTGTATAAGAACATCAAGTCACAATCTTGGATCTAATCAATCTTTCGAAGTTGATTGAAAATTGCAATTTTGAAAGGCATTGCTCAGAAGAGATACACTGGATTACTCTTAATAAGATTTTCTACTGAAAGAATCGATTGTTAAGTCTGTCGAGGAAAAGAGTCTCGTCTGATCGTCATGATTGTAGTACATTGACCAATGATTTGTTATCTTTATAAGAGCAAAAGAGATGACCAGAATCAAGCACAAGAGGTTTATAAGACAAGAATTGAGTACAGCAAGAGTTTCAGAACAATTCCTTGGCTTTGTTGGGGAGACGAGCAATGGAAAGTCTTTTATTGAGTCAGGGAACCCTCCGTCTTGCAGTCAAAGAGCATGGGTATGGAATGAAGTCTTTATTACGCAACGTTCTGACTCCAGGACAGAGGGCTGCCTCAAACATTTGACGATTTTCTCTCCTTCGTCTCCCCAACAAGGCTGTAATGTCATACAACAACATTAAGGTCTGCGCCTGAAGCTGCTTTTTCCTATTGAGAATAGCAACCAAGATGTACAACACAGTGTTACTGTACACGTAACTGAGTGCTAAATTATGTCTCGGCGGAACAAATGCCTTTGCAGAAGGGAGATAAATTATTCTTCAATTTAAGCCACGGTTGGCATTGATCTGATACCTATAATTGACTAGGTACGAGGATAGATAATTAATGAAGTTTTATTGCCCCCAAGTCATGGTCACGTGCCATAAACACAGACTCTTTTCAATGATAATAAATCTTTGCATTTTTCAATGTGTATACCCTTAAATTAGACGTAAGGGAGGGGGGGTCGTTCGAGTTTTCTTAAATAAATGAGGTTTCAAGACCAAGTCAAGAATTTTTGAAACGGGAAGGGGTTTGCTCATTTCTGAAACAAACATATGGTTTATGTGAGCGCACGGACTTTTTAGGTTTTAAATTTTATAATCCCAGACGTTTTTGTCGATGAAGCAGAAGGGGTGGGGTAAGGAGCGATGGGTTTTCAAAAATCGCCCAAAAAGTGTTACAGGACACGCGTATATAATCACATGTTATCCCACGTGTTGACTATTAATCAATATTCTGTTCACGCCTTTACGTATATGGTATAAAAGCAGCCCTTTGTAGTTGTCTCTCGCTCTTTATGATGTAACGCCTCTTACAATGTAGTAGGATCATATGCCATTAATTAACATACGTAATTTTTACGCTAACCTCGCTTTCGTTTGTATATAAACTTAGTTGTAACAGGGGTTAGACTTTCTCTAAAACCCTTGTCACTTCGAGTAGTCAACGAATTGAGAGTGAAGACAAAAAGCGAGCGACTCGTGTTGAGGTTAATCACTGACTGAATTACTAAACAAAAGACTAAGTTTATATACAAACGAAAGCGAGGTTAGCGTAATAATTACGTATGTTAATTAATGGCATATGATCCTACTACAACAACAGGGGGGGGGGCGTTTATTCCTGACCTCAGACTAATTGAAAGCAAGTACCACGTCCAAGCCTGCCCAAACCACATTTTTAATTGGGAGCTTTGGCAAATTGTAAGTAAATGACTGCTTTGACAGTTCCAATAACCAAAACCTTGCTAACTTTTAAAGCCTTTGCATAATCTTTGTTGTGTCTGGCGGCAAGTGAACAAGTGATTGCAAAGATTTACTGGTTCAGGCAAAACCAAAGCTCACTCAACAAGGGATCTTGAAACTCACTTATCCAGAAACGTTTAAGCCTCAATCAAATAAGACTAAAGCTTTGGTGTTAGGCATAGAATCAAAAGATAGCAGTAACAATAACATTGTCGGTAGAAATAAAAACATGATAAGAGTAATGAAGAATACGTTATATTAACAGTTTCTACCTTGATACACTGTCTTAGGTGCTTGTTGCATTATTATAAAGCAGAAAGGGCATTAGAAGAATTCCGGGGGTGGAGGGGGGGTGGGGGTGGCGCATATTGCACATTTGCTGCATTCAGCTGTTAGGGTGTAACAAACCAATTAATATTCGCATCTGACAAAATCGCGCGAAAGTAATCCCAGAACTTTATTCATGTTTTATTCAAAACATTATTCCAAAAATGAAACAAAATAGGGTAAAGAAGGGGACACGGTTTGATATTAGCAGACAAAAATATTTTTGTAATGATAAAGGTTTGAGGCTATAGCACCCCCTTTCGTGGTGTTTTAATATTTTACCTAATTTTGGGCCCAAACCATCGGCCTATTCAACTCGATTTTTTAATAGAAGAGAGCTCTAAACCATCTCTACAATACAATCATTACCGAGTTCAAAATTAATGAGAAAATATACACTCTTAAACATAAAGAATAGTAAAAATAATACATAATAGTGTAACATATCTATTTGTAAATCTATAAACTCACTGTCAATGGTGTCGGCCTGTTCGCTTGATATCCATCAATCTTGCGATGTTCTGCATTACAAAGACTACCAAGTTCACTGCTTATTCAAGACACTGGAATAAAATTTTCATATAAAGAATAATTCTTCACAGAAAAGTTAACTTTAGACAACACGTGTTTCAGCGCTTCAACATGGAATCGATGGACCCACGACATTAAACTTGTCCTTTATCGTACTTATGGTCAAAGTAATGTTTCGAAACAATTGAATAAGAACAATAGAAAATCACACCATTGTGTTCGATAGACAATAGCTTTTGAGACAAGTCCTTTGTTTTGATTCGACGCTTCACACATTGTAATGGAGATCTTTTCAAATACAATAACTCGAATTTCTTTTGTTTGTGAGTTTACATGTTTTAAGCTGAAAAAGAAATATTTTGCATCAGTTTGTTAAAGATTCACGCAACGCAGGTTCAGTAACAGAAAAGTTTGAAACAAAAGAAGAGGGCGGACATAAGGATGATCGAAGAATGGATTCACCGCCTCTCATCATTGAACAAATTGCTGCTCAAAAAGTCATTTAAAACACTTTCGGCCTAAAGCATTTGTTAAACACTTGTGAACATTTAGTGTTAATTTCAGTAAATCAAAACTTAATACTTACAATCATATCTTATGATAAACGTTGAGATTCGGAACCAAATCAATCAGACACAGGACGAGAGCATTAAATAATAGATTTGAAAAAAATTTAATTATTCCTGGAGAATACTTTCCACTGAAATCAAATTCAGAAATTACCACATAAGTTGCGAGGCTTGGTCTTTCCTTGTAGAGGACGGTGGACGGGTAGGAGTGAATCCAACCTTGTACAGAATTTGACAGTGATGCGCTGCATACAAAATTCAAATGTTATATGCTACTTTCCTGTCGGTAAATGCTGCTTTAAACATGTAATAAACATGCTCATCTTTACAGTTTTCTCCTTACTTGTGTATCGATAATCGAGTTTCGACTCTCTATGCAAAGTGAAGTTGTTATCATAGATTATATGAGTTGGTGAAAAACATTTGCTGATTATTTACCGGTTGAGCTAATTGTTCCTCGAAATGAGCTTTCTTTAGTTTTGTACACTTATGTTCAAAAAGCATTGAGACAAATTCGATAAAAATATTAGGGCATATTCGATAAAAATATTATAGGACAAATATGATATGGCGCTGCGCTATTCGGCTAGTACTGTAAAACAGCATTACAGATTTGTATATGTATTTGTTGCTACCTAGCATCCGAAGGTAGTTTTAGGACACTAAGAAGCTATGCTTATCGAGCAGTGTCCTGGTCCTTTCTCTCGATGTGACCACACCTCGTGATTCCTACGCCTGGAATTACAGAAAGCTGGCGACTCTCCCCACTCTGGGTGAAAGTTTGGTCATGCCAGAGACTTGAACCACGGACCCTTGGGTCTGTAGTCAGTGCCTCTAACAACTGAGCCATCTTTGCACCTAACAACAGAGCTGGTTCTAAGATCAAATTTCATGCTTATTTGCAGTCTGCCAGAAATCAGGAGCTCATATCTGTCAAATCAAATAGGGTGCTTCATGCAGGAAGGGAACAAAGTTGCATGATGGGATTTCCAATAACAGTGTGCAGCTTTTAAAAATCTCTTAAGACCTCCAAAAAGCCAAAGTAATAGCAACAGTGAGGAAACAGGATATTCTTAAATATTAGCTTAGGTGCTAGACAAGATTGTACACTGTCTCCCATTCTGTTTGATATATATGCTGAGTTGATGACGTAGGGGTGTAAAATGCATTCAATGGCAGAACTGCTGGATCAAGGGACTGCTGGATCAATGGCAGAACTGACAGCGACCAAGGTGAAAATGCCTGGTGAAGCTAAATGGTTTGTAAAAACTTAGATGTTAAAATTTATCTATTAATGGTTTAGAAGAATAAAACGTGGATAACTTTAGCTAAATTAGTAACACCAAGATAAAATCTATTATTCTATCTTCGTAACACCTGTGAGCGGAACATTAACCGAACTGATATAAGCGGAACAGGCGCATGCCGAATTAACGACTGACGGTAACGTAGGCAAATTCAATGTGCAGAATTGGAGCAAGTAGAACAGGCATAACCGCTTTTGACGTAAGCGGAATGACGGTGAGCTGAACTACCGTTAGTGGAAATTCCATGAACAGAAAGAACGAACATGCGGACTTGAAATCGGAGACAGACTGAAATATAGAGAGGAAAGTCAAGGCCAATAAATCATAAGGTTGGTCGTCCAGCTTTTTAAATGGATCCAAAGAAAAAAAACATTGTGATAACATTGAAATTTTATCTAAAACCTTTGTTATATTCAAGACTGCTTACCACGCCCCCATATCCTTTTAACGTATGACTTATAACCACATGTTACGTTTTATGTTTATGGATCGAGTTCGGTTGTCTTCATTGCGTACTTCTTAGAGATTAATAAGAAGCAAAGCAGGATTAAATTATTACAACCTTGCCTTAAACTGAACCATTTTTCACAGTCGATTTTCTTTCTAAGTGAACTAATACCAATCTTAAACAAAGAAGCGACATGAAAACTCCGCGACGAGCCACACGAAGAATTGAATGCCATATAAAAATGGCATTTCAAATTATTCGACGATCTCGTATCGCCTTGTTTGCGGCATTGTTGAAACCTGGCTGGGTACCGCAACAAAACTAAATTTTCAGCATTTATTTTTATGATTCTAAATTATTTCAAAATATCCTCTCTTTTATCTCCTTTAAACAACGTGGTTTAATTTATTTCTGAGATCTCCCATTCTTCTGTTTGGTTCGGTCTTTAATAATTCCACTCCTCTTGGCAAATTTCTGTCGAGCAATGCAAATAACCACGAATAAGAACAATACAGGAAATAATTTTCAATAGCCATGATTTTCAAAACTGGATAGGTGCAACAACAGGCTAAAAATATGTATCTTGATTGGGGAAGAAAATCACTTTCATCTCTCTACCAATAGTGCTCCTTTTCCCTGTCCATTGCACTGAGCCAGGAGAGAACTTCCAAGGCGGTGGAATAAAAAATTCTCATAGTAAGATTGCAAGCGGCTAAAACAGGCAAGTTAACGATACCTCGAGAAAATATAATTATGATGTATCAATTAATATTCTTTCAAAACAAAACGATCATGTTACCAGCTGATTAATTGATTAATGACAATATTTAAAAATATCCGCCTAAATCCAAGAAATTAGCTACCTGCACCCAATTTCATGAGTCCGCTTGCAACCCCCCCCCCCAAATAGAATTTGCCCCTTTATAACTGGAGAAATTGCCAAAATAGCATTAATGAGATAAAACGCTGAGCTTGACCTCATATAGCTAGAGCACTTAGGCATTCTACAAACATGACTCACGAAGTGGGGTGCTTGCAAGAAACCACAATTATACAGTTTATTGTCAGCCTAATTGCCATCGATACCCATTCTTAATATTTTCTGCCAACTTACTCATTCACTACCGGTCACAGTTTAAACAAATCAAAGCACTAAGAAAGACGAACGACGACTGCGAATTGAACGCCCAATTAAATGACTGGAAATAAAACCCTACTGTTTCATAGAGAAGCCACTATGTTTAAGCGGTATTCACAAGATATCTCGGATCTTGGGAAAACCTAAGCTTATTTCATTTTTTACAGTACACACTTCTTTTTCTATGCCTCAAAATTATTAAAAATATTTGATATTTATAGATGGACTGTAGGCAAAACTTAAAATGTCAATCAATCTAAAATATAACCAATTTTGAGTCTCTCTTTGAATATTCTCCTTTTAATGCAGGGATGGTTGTTAACAGGCTGTTGGCCTCCCGAGGGCCAACACAAGTACCAAATAAAGGAATTCTTTTAATATGCTGGAAATTTTAACTAACAACATTCCCATTAAAACTAATATTTTACCAGTAGCTTCTTCTTAAGCTTAGGAAGTCAAGAACTTTCTGAGTTAGCGAATTCGTCTTTGAATAATCACAATCCGATGTCATACTCCATAGACCATCACAGCTCAAAATGCATTGCTGCATTATTGGAAAAGGTTAGGCGGCATGGAAGGGGTGGGGGGGGGGGTCATTCGTACGCGCAGTTCCTTTAATAAAATCATCTAATTCAAAATACAAAAATAAAAAAAATCTATAAAAGTCCACACAATACTTCTTCAACCAATATACAAAAACCCTCATCATACAATTTAAGCAATACCATTATTATACCTCGATGTAAAAATCGACAAAATGTATCGACATACCCCGAATTAAGTATAAACGTCCCTTGGCGAAGTCCGTTGAGTCCTAAAATCTTTTCATAAATACATCTCGTGGATCTCTGATTCAGGTTTAATATATCCATGGGCAATAAGATTGTCCGGATCAATAAAATCAAACTTCGGAAAATTGCAACTGGTTCCGTAGTTTACCAATTGCATCGTCTATAGTGAGGCGATGTCCAAGCTTTTTAACTCCAAGTTCGGACAAATCGTCTTTGGACAAATCAGCTAGATGCAAACCTTGAATATCATTTTCTAAAAAACTAACTTTGTACTGCCCCATATTGATATAGTCCAGCCAAAAACCGACCTCTTCTGAATTCCATTCCGGGTACGGTTTATTAGAAATTGAGGCCGGTAGGTCACTTTTCACCCTACAAAAGAGGAAAAATATACAATTTTAAAGCGAAGTAAAGATTTTCATCTAAGATTTAAGTATAAAACAGACGCTTTCCTACAAATTTTATAAACACTGAAAGACCTGGCCCACTAAAACTTCAACAAAGATAACTAACTCTAAAATTTCATACAATTTCATATTTATTTATGCCAAAAAAAATTAAACAAACTGAAAGGAGGTAGGATAACTTTGTAAAAAAAGTCAAGTTCAATTTTCAAAAATAAAAAATTTTAAAAGACAGCCAGTGGGTGTACAAGCAAATTTTCAAAAATTCTTGCCATTCCATATCAAAATGGTTTCAAAAAAACATATCTCGCGGAAAGTGAAGAAAATTTTCGCGACAACGAATTGACTTGTCCCTTTGACCAAATGAGAATAGCATTTCAATAAAAACAGGCAGCGGAATTTTTTATTCAAGATAGTTGGAAAAGCAAGGGTCTTTATTCTAATTAAGAGGCGAAATAGATGAGCTGTTTCTTGAGAAATTGTAAATAAAGTAGGTCTAGGCATGAGGTTTGTGTACGAAAGCAGCAGTTTCAAAGGTTTAAAATCACGAATCTCTGCTTAAAAGCGCACGTCTTTAAGCGGGGTAACACGGCGTAATAAAGTAGCTTAAGCAAACAACAATTTTCTGCTTACTACATCATCCAGAAAACTATCAGAAAATTACAGAAATCTGAGAACAAAGAAGCAAAGAAAAGAAAAAAAGCTACCTTGGCGGTGAATACGGTGGTGGAGGATCCGCCGCCATATTTGTCATCACGGGCGCAGTCTGCAATGAAAAGCGATGTTTTTTAATAAAAAACGCAAAATCAATAAAATGGTTTAAATAAGGAAAAATTGCAGTAGCCTTTATAAGGCGTTCCTACTCTCTTGGAGGGGTGGGGGTAGCTGTTGTATAGATTATTCTAGAATCTACGGGTGTTGTATGGCTTTTGCTATAATTTGGGGGTTGCTATACTTTTCCACAACATGGGGGCTGTTAATAGTTCGTTTGAAACCCTGGGGTCAGTTTTAAGATTCACCCTTTGTTATAAGCTGCTATAGACAGCCTCCCAAAAGATGCCAAAAGTTCATGAAAATTTTTCAAAGATAAAAAAACAAGTTGATTAAAAGGTATTATGTTGGTATCAAAAATGTGTTGTCGTATTAGTGTTGCGTTGTTGGTTTTTAGCAGCAAGAAAATCAAAGTTACGAAACAAATTTCTTTGTATGCAATGGCTTCCTTTGAAGTATTTATTTCCATTTTATATATCTTATATTGAAAAGAATGAATTAAATGGAAAGAGCCGATAAATAAAAAACATAAAGTTCTCACGATTGATAACATCACATGTTTTGTCTAACACGAATCTTCAGAAAAAGTAGCTAGGTCGCAAAGGAAAACTCAACTTATTTGCCTTGACAAAAGCAAATCAAAACAACAGCGTTATAGGTTGCAAAGGATTGACTGACCTTTGAAATATCCTGTGGAAAGCTCTCCATGTTGTTCATGAACTCCGATGGTGGCGGGGGCAAAGGGCTCAGAGGTGGTTCTTGCGGTACACCATCCATGGAATCAAGATGGGGCCCTTCGTTGCTTTCATTGACAGAATTAGCAGACGCAAACATTAACGGCGGGGTTACTATATCCGACCTCGTTTCAGCCTGCGCAGCCAGCCTCGTTTCAGGTTGTTTTTGCTCTTGTGAAGAGGGCTCCGCAACGATAGAAGAACTGGAAGCATTAATACTTTCAGCTACGACATTCAGATCATCACAAGAGGCCCGAGATTGTGGTTTAGGCCTAATAGGAGGGGGCCCCTTGTTGCTAATATCTGCATTATGTTTTACTGGATCCTGAGCTGGTGCCTTGACACACGATTCTTTATTAACAGATTTCAACTTTACTCCTAGGAATCCCTTATCTATATTATGTTGATTCACAGAGGAAACAGTGCTTGGCCCCTGTGTCTTGGTTGTTGAGCCGTTCTTTGCTATCTTCTCCGCCCGTCTAGCAACTGCATTAGCAAGTGCTGACGCAAGATCTGGAGGCTGTTCGCCGGGGGCTTGCCCTAAAACATCACTGACATCGATTCCGGAATCCTTCGATATCTGGGTGTCCAGACTCGAAGTACTACTTGCGGCGTAAAGATTATGATAGTCCGGATTTTTGCTATCTTTGGTTTGCAGAACTGTATCAGCACTAGACGATTTTGGTATACCTGAAGAGCGCACGGGTTCGTTTTCATTTATAACATGCAGACCCTGGTCTTTTCTCCTTTGAGCTACAGTTTCATCAATAGACAACTTTGT